GGGATGGAAAGCCTGGGCCGGAGGGTAGGCTGCCCGGTGGGATGTGAGAAGGGCTGTCCGTCCTTCTTCGTCGGCTCTGCGGGACGTGAAGGAACGGGTTGGTCTCTTACGGGTGCGTAAAAGATGCACTGAGAGAGGACCTTGCCACCTAAAGAGGGGGTGGCAAGAAAATGGAGCCGGGATCCTCTTGGTGGTGCCAACCACTAGGACGAGAGGCAGCGGGCGAAAACTGATGCACAGAGAGTTCCACCTGAATATGAGCAAGAACTCTACTGTGCGAGGGACCATGCACTGGAACAGGTTGCCCAGAGAGGTTGTAGAGTTTCCCTCGCTGGAGATATTCAAGGACCATCTGGATGCAATCCTGTGTCACGTGCTCTAGGACGACCTCGCTTGAGCGGGGAGGTTGGAGCAGGTGACCCACTGTGGTCCCTTCCAGCCTTCCCCATGCCGTGATTCTGTGTGGTGCTCTCAGCACGTGGAGGATCCCGTGTCTCTGTGCGGGGTTCCAGTGTGTGTCCCAGTGTGTGTCGGTGCATTGCTGTGCCTGGTGGCAATGGCAGCCCGGTGGCATTTAGGGTTGCAGGGTACGTGAAGGACAGCTAAACCAGGCCACCTCCCTGCGAGACACACAACTTGGGTCACTGCTGACCTTAGCAGCGATGTTATTTTGCTGCACGAGCAGCACGAACTCAAGTTACTTAGCTACAACTGTGATCTTAGTTCAGCTCTGTGTTTTAGAAGAGCTGCTGTTTCCTAGTGCTAATGGGTGACTGCTTATATCTTACTATAATGTACTGACTCAAAAAGACTGTAACACATGTGGATTAAGATGCCACTATGATTATGGTATAGCATACTTGAAAGCTGTAGAGTGTAATGAATTCTTTCCAGTTCTCTTAAATGGAGCAACTCAGTGGGAATTTTAACAAGGTGGTCTGTCAAGCGCTGATCAGACTATTACAGAAGGAACTGTCAAGCTTATCCTTCTGTTTTCAATGCCATAATTTTCCCACTTCAGTTTATACTGAAACAAACTGTGAAGATCAGGTTAATAATCCTTGCAGTAATATTAAACAAAAGCATCCAAGAGCCATTCTCATAAGGAAGCTTCAAAAACATTATTCACTGGGATAAAGGTTAGAAATTCTTGCCTTCTATGTCAGACAGAACAGCAGTACAGAAAATGGCAGCCTCAAAAAAATTACAAGGAAATGTTAATGTTCTGGTCTAGACTTGGATTGCGTGGGGAAAAAAAGTGTTTACTGTATCTCTGGTGGTAGAGTAACTGCCTTAAAATTCATGGTTTCAAGCACATTTACATGTTAGGATAGGATTACTTAAAGCTTGATAGAATGTTTGTGGAGTATATGTAACTATTTAGTCTGATGCTGTGAAGGAATACTTGTCTCCAAGTAAGTCTGAAAAATCAAAACCATTACAGGGCATTAAGAGGTGATTGAAGAATAGCATTGAGTTATTACTCTTGATTTGGTAATCATACGCATCTATATTAGGATTTGAAGGGTGGAATTTCTTCTCTTCCTATTATTCTTCTACCCACAGTCTGTTCCCAGGATTTCTAATACCTTAGATCAGTGAAAAGGTAGATTAGGTTAGCTAGTGTGTCAGAGGGGAAGAAAAGATAATAAGGCTTATCTTGTTTCTGAGGGCACCGTTGTTACATGAGTGATGTGTAAGAAATTATTGAATTTTATGTTTCCAGCAAGGAAATCCTTTACATTGACAGGAGGAAGGAAAGAGAATACTATTTGTTGGGTGTTAGTGTTTAAAATCCTGCTTAATAGAAAAATGTGCTGTCTCTGTCCTTGGCAGTTTTCTATAGCAGGTTGGTAAAGCTCTGAGAAACCTGATGTTACTTTGCTTTTGAGAAGTTGAACTAGATGACTTTATGAAGTCTGTTTCAACCTGAATTATCCCATGTCCTCTGTATCAAATACAAACTATATTTGTTTGTATTTACTTTTAAGGAAGAGTTTTCATCTTCTGTTAACTTTAAATTGAGATATTGAAATGATTGTGTATATCTTGGGGAAAAAAAATCCCAAACACCAAAACCCAAACTGATGTGTATATTGTGTGTTTTTTGTTTAGAACATGGATTCACAGAAGGATGTTCAGCCTCCAAAGCAGCAGCCAATGATTTACATTTGTGGAGGTAAAGAAAAGACATTAGGGATTTATTTTTTTTTATTACATGTTACTGGAGATTTAGTGTTTTAATAATGAAGCCATTATAGTGAAGAGTACGTGAATGCAAATAATTGCAGTGTGCATCCTGATGATCTTTAAAGCTTTACACGTTGATGGTAATGGTTACCACATGGATATGGATGTGGAAGTAATTTCCTTAGATCTTGTGTTGCTGTGTGGAGCTCCTCCATCTCCAGAGTATGCTTTCTCTAAGTGTCTGCTAGTGGTGCAAATAGTGGACCTTCCATTCAGTGCATCTCAGTCTTTTACTGAAAATGTTATATGGGCACTCAGCTTTTACTGAAATACAATAGTCAAATTCTCTCTTACTGATAGATAGGTCAACAACTTACAAATTGGTGATTTTGCATCAGCACTTCAGGAATCTCTGAAATATTTTGTCTTTCAAGAAAATAAACTGTGGTCTTTTGGAGGGCTGAACTGAAATTTTTGTTAGTAGGCAGTCTAGTATCAAGAGTGGAATGTGTTCTGTGCAGTAATATTTTGGTCATTTTTAGCAAGATTCTCTTTGACTTTAACATAAGTTGAACTTGCTTTTTCTTTTTTTTCTCAGTATCTTGGTATCATTCAGCTCTTGATACGGATTCATTACAATTACTATGTTTACCACAAATAGAAATTTGATTATTTTGACTTTTGAAAGTTATCTGTGCATTAACAATGCTGGTTTTGTTTGCCCACTGTCTTTGTCTTCCTCTATAACATTAGAATGTCATACAGAAAATGAAATAAAGGCAAGAGATCCTATCAGATGCAGAGAATGTGGCTACAGAATAATGTACAAGAAAAGGACAAAAAGACGTATCCTTTTACAAGTGGACTTGAAAGCATTTGGGAAGCTGTGGGTGGAGATAAGGTATGTAAGGGAAACAGAAAGGAAGATTTGAGTAATTATGTAACAATCCTTCAAGGCAAAAAATCAGTGCAGGAGAGCAAACTACTATGAGGCAATCTCTGCAGAGTGATTTGGCACCTTCCTTTCTTTCCTAGCACTTTCCCTCTTTTTTTCCATTTTCTATGCAAGATATAATAAGTTATGATAGTCTGCTGGGTGATGTACTGTGAATTGTTGATATTATTCAGCCTTTTATTAAAGATAGCTTTTGAAATACTTTTATGTAGTTAGTTGTGACCTTAGATTTAGACAGTCTCTCTCTTTTATTCCTCTCCCCATCTTTTTTTTTCAACCACGACACTTTTTTTTGTCCTTAACTGAGCTATTCCAGTGGTGGTTTTTGATGCCCGATGATATCTGCTGAAGATACAGTGACTTCATGATGCAGTTTAATCTTTCTGATAACTTTTCTCTGTAAAACTATTTGTGTACAAATGCACACTCTTATTTGTGTTTTAAGAGATTATTAAAGTTTACTGTAATACTAAATTTTGTCTATACCATCTTCCAGCAATAGATTTCTAAAGCTGTTGTTTAAATTGTCAGAGTATGCAGTATTTTTTAAGTTCAGTCATTTTGTATTCTTTTTGACTTAACTGTTTTCATTACTGTCATCTAAACTTTATTTGCATTTTTGCTTTGTTAAATGTTCTTTGGACTTCTGTGAATTGCATAAAATAACTGTGGTTTGAATAAATTCCACTGAAAATAAATAGAGGGCTACACAAGGCTAGGTCTGAAATACAGATCTGGATTTCTTGAGAAAATCTCAAGGGACTTGAGAGTACCTGATTGTGGATATGTTAAAAGTATGGATGTCTTGTGTGGAAGTGTCAAAAAATCATCTCTTGGGAAAGAAGAGGGAGAGGGAGGCAAGGTAAACATTAAGAAGCAATGTGGAAACAGAAAGTACGGAAGTGCTGTTTGACTTATACTCAAGGAAAGAATTAGTACTCAAGGAAAAAAAATGTGTTACAAAGATAAATTGAGTAGCATCCCAAAACTAAAATAGCATCTTGTTTTCCTTTTCATATGACTTCTCAGGAGTCTGTAAAAGAAGGTTCAAAGTGGTGATTTTGTTTTGAGAAGCCAAAACTTTTTGCATCTGGCTGTTTGGAATGTGTGTTATGTAATAGTACTAAATTCTGCTACAAAATACTGCTGAACTGTGTGTGCTTGATCTCAATTTGGATGGTGCTAATGATGCTGTTACGTTCAGATACTGTGTTTAACTGATCACTGTGATAAGGTATCTTTGTTAAGGTGTGCATGACTGTACTGGCTCATAAATGAGCTACAGTGGCTTGTTATAGGGGATAAAGAAAAGCAGTTGGAGATGATGTTTTGGAGCTGTTTGGTTAAGATTTTCTTAGTTAACTGATCTTTGCTGTTAAGAGTAGGTTTTTCCGGGAAACCAGATACACTCGGGTATACATGATAACCTTTTTGCTACACCAGCCTGGCCTGCACAGTGTGCACCTTATTGCCTGCATAACAGACAGAAGGGTCGCTACTGCCGTGGCTGCTCAGAAGGGTGAGGAGGAGAGGGCAGGAGCAGTGCTGTCGAAGGTTTGGCAGGATTCAGGGGTGGGTTTGGCCGCACTGCGGGCACAGTGGGTACTTCTTTCTGCCAGACGTGGAGAAGAGCATCCTCTGCCATCGGGGACCTGCTGTAAGGGAGCAGCGCCGGGAACTGCAGGGCTGACGGGCAGCACTGGTGTGGGCACGGGGGGACGCCGGCATTGGAAGGGGACTGCCTGAGTAAAAATACTACACTGGAAACAGGAAAGTGACGTTTATTAAACTTTCACGCCCAGGTGCTGTATTTCTGCCCCCCCCGCAGCAGGTGGGGGGGCGCCGCCGTTCCCCTCAGCCCTGACCGCAGCCGCGCCTGCGCGGCGGGGAGCGAGGGTCGGGCGGCCCCGGCTGAAGCGAGGGACGGGCAGCGTCCGTGTCCCGGAGGCGGCGCGGCACCGGGCAGGTGGGTGCTGGAGTCGGGCAGGTGACGCCGGTGTCGCCGCTGGAGTTCGGCGGGGCTCTGTGGGAGCCTCGCCGGGGTGTCCCTGGGGAGGACAGCGCCGTGTCCGCGCCGCCATGTTGTACATAGCAGCAGTTGCTAAGCTCGGGCTGGCGGCGCTGCCCGGGCCCCGGCGGTGGGTGCCGCTCCCGAGGTAAAGTCCTGACTCCGGGGGAAGGGGGATGTGTGGAAGGTGTGTTGGAGGGCTGTGGCTGTGCCCCCGAGCAGCCGCGGTGTCCGTGTCAGCACCGTGCCCTGGGCAGCTCCCTCGCCTCCGTGGGAATACTGAAACGGGAGAAAACGCTGATTTGTGATGAGCTCTTCACTCCTGTTTAATTATTTACTGCATTCGTACGGCTTTCCATGCATGTTGTTCCTTTTTCAGTACTGAAACTGTAAAGTCTTGGGGCAGAATCTCTATTATGGTCACGTAATTACGACCAGTTATTATTTAAGTGATACTGTATTGTAAACATTTTTTGTGCAACTATAAATTAATAGAGGTAGTTATGCTAGACATTGGAACACAGTTATTTTAACTGGGTTTATATTTGCACATAGTTGTTATCACACGTTAGCTAGCTTCCCTTATTGTACTTGTTAAAAATAATTTATCACTTTATGCACTATATAAATGGGGAAAGAGTGAAGAATTTCAGCTCCATAGAGCTTGGGATCAAAACAGAAAAAGATGCAGATGAACAGATCAAAGGAACGGGGAGACAGAAGTGTCCCATTTGAACCCCTCACTTCATCAGTTACCTACTTACTGGAAAAGGCTTATATTACTACTGTAATATAATCAGAGAGCCAGAAAATGCAGTTAGTGAGCAAAGAAAATTGGATTTATTTTTGCAACAGAGAAGGCAAAGGTTATTATTTCTTTAGGTACACTGTTGGTTAATGTCTTCCCTCTGAAAAAAGCTGTGTCCTGCACCATCTTATCCTTCATGCTTATCATACTTGCTTAAATAGCTAATATTATAATGTATTTAAAGAAAAATTGAGAACGTGGTAGGCAAAAATTGGCAATTTTTCTTTAAGCAGTCTTTCTGAATTGATCTGCTTTGCAGAAGCAGTAGAGTTACACATACTCTTCATACAAAGCGTCTCTCATACACAACCGTACTTCTGTCAGTGAACTCTGTCGAGGACAGCTCATATGATCAGATCTTCAAATCTGAAATTTTTTTTTCTGTGGTAATAGATCTGCTTGCATAAGAGAGTGGAGCATGAGCAGGTTTATTCCTTAAATTGACATTGCTTCAAAATGTAACTAAGTGCCTACAGGATCACTAAATTTTTTTCCTTTTAATATTTAGTTATGGATGATGAGTCAGTACCATTTTTGCTGGACCAAGGAACCACTAAAACATATCAAATACCTATTAGTCATCTGGACTATAAATTCATTGAAAAATGCACAGATGTTAAGCACCTGGAAAAGATTCTCAGAGTATTAAGGTAAACGTATTTTCTTATCTTCATAATAATTATATTCCTGTTCTGTAAAATTTGAGGGAACCCTTATCTAAATACCCTTATCTGCCTGAACCTTTTTGTGACTTTCTAATTTAAAAATTAAAATACAAAGTTAAAGTTATCATGTTAAAAGTGTCCCTATGATAGCGCTAGAATTCCAAGTCCTGATTTAACCATTGAAAAAGTTTGAGTAACTGAATGTCAGGTTTTTCTCAAACTGCTGCTGCTGTATTTTGGTTCTGTTATGATCCATCTTGCCTGACTCTGGTAATTTCAGATGCCACACCTGTTTAACTTTTGCTGAAAATGACACAAAAATTTTTTTATGAGCACTGTGTTGATAATTTGAACTGTATATGTATGGACATTGGAAAATGGTTGAGGGTTGACTGGACTTTTCTGATGAAAATGTTATTAGATGACAGCAAAATTGAGTTGTAACAGGGAAATAGTCCTCTGCAGTCACTGTAGTGACTACAGATGGAGAGAAATATGGAGAACACAGTGCAGTTTAGTTCTTTTTTGTTAACTTTTATATCTTTGCATTTGAAAGGTCTGGTGAAGAGGGATGTTACCCTGAACTTACGTTTGTTTGTGAAAAGCGTATTGAGCATTTAGATCCAAAGAGCAGAGCTCTGAGAACAGATAAGCCTGCAGCCACAGCTTCTGATTTCACAGCTGAGGAGTGGGAAACAATTAATGATGAGCTGATGGTACAGTATCTAATTTATAATGGCCCATAATATTATCACTCTGATGTATCAATCTTCCTCTTCTTGTGCCTAAATAAAATGTAATTATTTGGTTGAATGAGGAAATGATCAAAGGATTATGTTTTGGTTTTTTAATTGTTTTCTTGAGTTAATGTCACTGAACCTTTAGTGCCTATTTTAACTTTACAGATTTTTTTTTTTTGGTAGGTTACTTTGTATTAAAAAAAACACTATTGCTTTTTTTCTTAATTGTTTTTCCCTGTTAATAGCAATGTTTTGTAAGTATAGTTGTTAGGGTGACGGTAGACTGTGAAGTATATCTTCTCTACTGCCTTAAGGTACAGATGTATTATTTATTTATTTTCAGAGCTGGCTGACAGAAATGAATGAAGATGATAAGAAATCACAGTTCCTGAGAACAGACACACCAAGTGAAAATCAAGATAATTTGCCTCCCATTCGTTGTTCCAGCAGCTGTCTTCCTGCTAATCAGGTATCTCCAGTTTCCTAATGTGTGTTAATTATGTGTTTTTCTAAAATTAGGAAATTTTATATGTACAAACTTCCAATCACTGAGCCTTTCTTACTAGATTTATTTTGTTAACCAGGAAATAAAAACCTTTAAACTCCCTTGTGAGAGACCAATGCTTAAACAAAAGTACTTTCTTTGTACTAGCATGTGTCTTGTAATAATGTTTTAATTCTGATCAGGAATTCACTGCTGGAGCAGATCTACTTAAACACCCTTTTTTTGATCTTTGATTCATGTTTCAAAATGGTTTTTAAGCATATGAATCAGGCTCTTTTTGGATGAAATTATGCCAGGAGATTTTCTTCAGCTGCCAGTACACTTTTGTTCCATGGGGCCGGACAGGAGCTAGTCCAAAATACCTTGAGTTGCCATTCCCACTGCAGTCATATAGCATACTTCCTAATTTAGCCATTAAGCACACTTAACAAATCTTCAGAATTAAGAACGAATACTTACATTTTTCCTAGGTATTAGTTTCCTTATGTGTTTGTTTTTTTTTCAGTTTATTTATCTGCCTAAAATCAGTTTTGTCTGTGACTGGCTTTTCTTGCTAATACTAAATATAGTGCTACTGGAGGGATTGGCAGACAAATAGGTGTGGGACGGGATTTTTCTGAATTGTCAGGTGTTTTCATAGATCATTTCAGTCTGATTCTCAAAATTTTCTTTGAAATTCTGGGACACTGCTGTAACAAATTTCTTGAAGTATTGTTCTTTTTGGATGTTTGGGAGTCAGAAATGTTATGGAAAGATCCTTACAAGTCATGTGATATTTCTTATTAGTTGTTTTGGTGGTTTTTTTTTTTAATAATTATGTATTAGTAAATGCCTGATTTTTGTTCCTATGTTGTCAGAAACTACTTCTTGTTGTCAGCTAGTACTTAGACATTGGACGAAGACGTTTGGGATAGCAAGACACTTAGTATTGAGACCAAGGCATGCTTTTGTTTTGTTTATTTTGTGGGTTTTTATGTCATTAATCTGTATTCTTTCACATTTTGCAATATATGTTCCTCTTGACTATCCCATTATGCTGAGGTGGAGAGTGCCACTGTAGCTTTACTATTGATTCATGCCCTGTATGAGTGCTTGTTTCAACAGAAAATGGTAAATAAAATACCATGTGAACTCAGTGAATCCAGATTAGAATGTAAGCATAAAATAACGGAAAGTGTCTTGAAATCTAGGATACACAGTTTTACTAAAGAGGATGTGTTCTCCTTTCAAAGATAAAAATATTTATTCACGTTTTTTCTCCTACTTTAAACCATGCAACAGTCTTCAGGTCAAGCTTTGTTCTTTCGTTCTTCACCTTTTGTTCTCCATACAAGGTTTAGGTGTTAGCAGTATTACTCAGGAAACCTAGATATAGCATTACACTTTATCTGTGGCATGTGATTTCCATTCCTTTTGTCCAAGCAAAGGGCCTCTGAAGTAACTGTAACCTGTCCTGGAAGAGAGAAGGAGGCCTGAAACTAAGTTTTAGAATTCAATCTTTTTATGCAGCAGTACAGTTACATCACTACTAGATCACTACTGAATAAAAAGAAATTGTTTCTACAGCATACACTAAATTTATATTTGTAATATGAAATCTCAAAAAAATTTGAATGTACATAATCAACTTTTTTTCCTTTTCTTTCTCTCTGATAAAGCTATGTGTAATCTTACAATTTTTAAACATGTTTTGCTAATCAGTTAGGACTAATTAATTTTCAGACTGGCATCATATAATTTCTTAAGTGGTATCAAGTTTAAAGTTGACATGATAAATTTCTCCTCTCTGCTAGAAAGAAATGAACAAACCTTTTTGTAATTTTATGTTATAGCTTGACTGGAGACTATTCCTCTGATCCGATGCATAAAAAGTTCAGCATCTTCAATTAAGCCAATTTTGGAAATCCTTATTGACCCTAAAACACTGGATTGCACCAATGGATACCAGTTTTATAAATGGAAGCATTTTGTTTTATCTATAACCAGATTTTCTTGCTGATACAAAATGTAGGTAGAGTTTCAGTTCACTGCTGATAGCTTGTAATTCTATATGGTCTTTTCTTTTTATTGGTGTGAAGTCATGGGCAAGATTTTCCAAAAATGAATAGAAAAAGAGTTAAGTTTATGCAATATTTTCCTCTTTAACACAGTGTTAAAGAGGAAGTTTCTGTCTTACATCCCTGTTTTTCTGTCACACTGCCTCACTTCTTCCAGGAGAGAACTAGATCATGGGTTTACAGATATTCGTGTTCAAGTAGGGATTTCAGCATAGGTTCTTTTGCCAAATGTGGTTTCCTAATACTATTCCAGAAAGATTTCTGTCCTCAGATACCTCCTCATGCTACTGTCCAGGGCATGCAACATGCATTCCAAGGTCTGTGTTATAAAAATTCACTGTGATAGGATCTATATAGCCCTCATGTTATTTTGGATATTCTGAACTAAAAAAGAATACTTGTTGGCTGACACGTTATAGTAATGTCTTAGACCAGCATGCAGGGCCCACAGGAGAACCAAGGACAAATTCTGTATCACCTGAACAGCCAGTCTCTGTGTTGCTCTTTGGCCCACTGAAAGTGTCTAATGGGCTTCAGAACCTGTGAGATCCATGCGTTGTGAGTTCTGGCAAGAAAAACGACAAGCACAAAGATTTTTACTTTTTTTTAGTCCCACAGCATGCAAACATATATTTTTCATTGGATGAGATGCTCTGAAATATTACTGATGGAGAAATTCCTGACTGCTGGAACCACAACTTCATTACAATTGTCTCAAGAATATGAAGCCTAGAATTTTTAAAATTGTGAATTTTTGAGTCAATTCTTTTGCCTTATTCCTTTAAAGTACATGCTGTAGTTCTCTCCCTAAGTTAAAGTTGCGTTACTGTAAGTACCTTATGCATTTTCTTCTGACAGTTTCAATATTTTTGTGCTCATGTAAATTAATGACTTCTGGTTTGAAAAAAAGATTTGGTATTTATTAAATTAGTACATTTGTAATATGCACCAGGATGCATACATAATGATAACTCATGTTTCAGGAAGGCATATTTAGGAGTTCCCTCCTCCAAACATGCTCTGATCACTAAATGTATTTGTCATTTTGTCAAGCTTCTTGAAAGAAGAACATTAAGAGTAATTCTGAAGTTATATACTATAAAAGTTTGTGTAACCTAACATTATAGATAGTCAGAAGTGTTTACAGGAAGGGTGACGTTTGCATTATGTAAATTGCGTTGTTTACATGCAACTACAGAAGTATGTCCTTGTTACAGCATCACCACTGGTAAAGCCAGTTTAAGAGGCTGCTGCTTGTTTCTTTGGTCCAGCTGAACTGGTACAGATATTTGGGGATTGTACTGTGATCTCTGTTGTTTGTTTGAATCCAGAAAATTGTAAATCTGCAACTCTACAAAGAATTACGGTGGTCTAACTTAGTGAATTATGGTTCATAAGGTAATAGAAGGGCAAAATGGCCAGGACAGAGTAGATGGGAGTATTTTGAACTGGCTCTTCCACTGTGAAATACCTGTTGGGAACCACACCTTGCTGTTAAGTATTTTGAAGTCAACAAGCAGGGAGGGACATATCAGAAATAAAGTCTCATGAGAGAAGCAGAACTGATGCCAAAGGTGACAGTTATGGAAATAGGTTCCATTAGTGTAGGAGGTGGGTTGCAATATAAGTCAGTCAAATCTGTTATTGGGATGATTGTTGCAGGAAGATCCTAAAGATAAATTTTAGGTAAGCCAAACCCCAGTGATGGAGCTTGTCTAAAAGCTAGAATGAATGTAAATCATCTTAGGAATTAGCTTTAGTGGAGTCATAAATAGTCAAAAGAAGTCTAGACACTATTTTGGAGTCAATAATGTGTAAGTTTGTTGTGAGGGTTCCAGGGACTATCAAAATCCGTGCGTTGCATTCTCCTGGAAAAAGCATGCCTCAAAGTTACTGATTCAATCTTCATGTGAAACACCTCATCACAAGGATGGATTTTCCCAAAACTGAGTTCTCCCTTGCTGTGTTGAAAAGATGGTTGGGAAGGTGGCATCACAAGATACTAATTAGGAAAGAGCAGTCTCTTTCTGAAAGTTTTGTTCAGTGCCTCTGTGACATGTAACAGGGCAATGGAGAGAAAGTGTGAGACTGAAGAGCTCCTCAGATTACAATGATATGTGAAATGCATGAAGATTTTCTTTAAAGCAACACAAATTACTTTTTCAAGATTATGCTGAGATTAGTCACAAATAGCGTTGGTAACTCAGAATGCATTGCAGAAACAAAACTAAAAAAAAAAGGCTCTGCAATTTCTACTGCAAAAAATTATCTTACTGGCTGTTTGGTTCTCTTTCAGAACAGGACACTGCAAAACAAACAAAGAAACAAGAAGAACATTCCACGGGATTACAGTGAATGGGAAAAGTATGTTAAATCCTTTATATTTAAGTTTTTAGTAAAGCTTATTTATTTGTTTAATTAGGGAACACAGTTGTTGTATTTTCCAGAAACATAGTATTAAGGTCAGCACTTCAGGGAACCGTAACACTTCTATGAAACTTCATTTTTTTTCTTAATAAATATTCTGTTAAAATGCAAATGATGCTTTGTGTTGCTAACACCTGAAAACAAGTTAGTTTATACTTTTGGACCAGCTGTGTGAAGTACAGCAAGTCATCAGAAAAATAAAGGCTGATTTTTTTTTTTCTCTTTTCAGATTTAATTTTTCTGTTCAGCATCAAAGATATAAATCTACAGAGGTACATAAAAGCAAGGAATTGCAATTAACGTAATTACTGAGTTTTTTGAAAGCAATTCTAGGGTTATTTTATATGGGCTTATAAATCTGATCTTCTCTATACCTAAAGCCACAATTCTAAATTAAAAACAAAACTGATGAATACTTACTCCTGCACTGAACCCTGCTGACCTCAAAGAATGAGCTTCAGGCAGGTGCATCAGTTTACTCAGATGCAATTACACATAATAGAGATTTGGACAGTAGCTGTTTTGAGAGTGGATGGAGCCCTGATATAAAGACACTCTCTGCATCATATGGTGGTGGTGTACTACCATCTCAAGTTATATGACAGATTGATAGCTAAACTGTTGAACACAGAGGGGGGAAAGCACATAATTCTCTGTTTTGCATGGTAGAAGTGTTTCTGGAGTTCCTGAAATCTGGAATATGATGCTGTAGAATCAGAGTGAGGAGGCACAAGTTTCCAGTGCTGTAGATGGGGAGCTAAATCTAGGTATTGGGGGGGTTGGGTAATGAAACTCTACCCCAAAATGCCTACAAAACCCCTGTTCTGCATAAGATGTTGTTCTTACCAACAGTTGTGCATATCAGTTATTTTCATGTGTGTACTGGGGCCTTCCTCCTAAAATGTGGACAAAGAAAATAGATTATCAGAATAACTTCTGCAACAATTTATTCTTTCATCCCTCTTTCCACTGTAATCCAAATTTCCAAAGTAATCATTTGTGGATTTTGTTTGCAGTTTTATATACACAATCTTTAAGTGCTTTAGCATGCTGCTAATACTACAGTTTGTGAATTTTCCCCTATAATGTATTTATTTTGGATTACAAGTATACCGAAACAGAAGTTGTTTGAAAGAAATTTTCCAATTTGAAGCATATCATGTTTTCAAAACATTTTGTGGATAATTTCAAAACTTTCAAGTAATTCTTGAGGCAATTTCTGAACAAAACGTTTAACTTCTTATTTTAAAAACATTTACTTGAAATGTGGTTAATTTATAATAAAAAGATAAAAGTAAGCTAGCAAAAGATCAGATTCAAAATGGAGTACAGTTAGCCTTACCTGAAAAGGTTTTGATTTGGATAAATTTTCAAAATGGTATCTCTATTTCAGATAGAAATTATTTGTATTGTCAAGATTATTGTGGGAAGAAAATGCTATTTTTCATTAAGCCCTACACAAAACAACATCAAGCATAGTGTTTCTAGTTAGTGTAGGAATTGGTTATTACCATATTTGTTTTATAGGACTATGGCAGCAATATTTCTTTATATAAATTCCTAAACACTGTTTTTAAAAGCTGCTTCAGAGTAGCTTTGTAAGTGTCTGAGACTATTTTGAAATTTCTCTCAGGTTTACTGAGAGAAATTGCTTTGAAACTGTTTCTTAGGTATTTTGGCAAAGGTTAATAGAGATGTTTGATGGGGCTGGGATTGAGCCTGATGATACTAATTCTTAAATGTTATCTTTTTTGGGGAGATAGTGAGGAGGTGAGGCAGAGATTTTTCTGAGGAGGAAGAGGAGGAGGTAATGTATAAACAGAAGCACAGAAAGTACACCAGAAAGGAGGGAGTTAAGACTAAATGTCTTTTTCCTGACTAGTCACACATAATTGATCACTTTATTCCTTTTCTTTTGGTTTATAATGGAAATATAATATGACTTTCTGTTAGTCAAGGAGTCTTGCTATGCAGCATTATTGAATTTGTCATTTTTGTTAATTTAAGGTTCGATGTGGAAAAGGAATGTTCTAAAATTGATGAAAGCTGTGAAGAAAGTAACTCAAAATCAAGATTCTTCAATAGACCAAGTCTGCCTATTATCAAAAATACAATAGACACAACTGGTAATGTCTTAGAAACATAATTTGTCTTTAATTGTAATAATGTTTTGTAGAGCATGAATACAAGTTGAAGAGGTATATCATATAGTTAGTGTCTTTATTTTTCGGCCTCTAGATATGCTGGAAGTTGTTAGATCATCAACTGAGCTTGAAGCCATATTCAAAAAAATTCTAGTCTTGATGTTAATAATCATTTAGAATGTTTGTATTGTGTTTAGGTTGAGAGCTCTAGGTAAAGAAGTGAAGCATACATCTGGTATTACAAATGAATGGTAGAGGTTAGCCAACTGCTTTCAGCCAGCACTCTGAATTGTATGCCTATCAGAAGAATTTAGGTTTTACTACAAAAAGTAAAATACAAATTTGTCTTTTAGTAAGCCACTATTATTAAAAAAAAGCCATATTATTAAAAATAATATGCAGATTCTGACATTCAAAATATTTTAGCTGACGGTATTTTGATTACATCTGCACAAGTTGTTAGTTGTTGTTATGTAGAAATATTTTTTGCTAGGAATGACAAAGAGAGAGAAAATCTTTGTTGCTACTCGTGAAAAAGAAAAGGGCAATGAAGCCTTTGCCATTGGCGATTATATGGAAGCAGTGACATATTACACTCGGTGAGTAAATACTCTTGTGTTCCTATATTTTAATGACTGTTACTCACGAATATTATGTTTAGAGCAATGTAATTGAAGTAACTAATGACAATTAGATTATTTTCAAAAGGGCAAAAAGGATTTGATGGAAAAATACTTAAAGCGCTGTTGCATACTGATATTAATTTTCATTTATCAGGAAGAGACGTGGCTAGTGATGAAATGCAGTCTACAGGTGTCACAGACTTCTTCAGATTTTTCAGAGTAGTTGAGATTCAAGGGCATATTTACAAAAACAAAAGGATAAGCAGTGTGTTGAGAAACTAAATTAATTGTAATTAAACGTTTTTGTAGGATTGTCTCATTGGTAGGATTGTCTCAAGTGTGAATAAGTACAATTGCTTCTATAATCTATTCTTAGGAGATTAAAAAAATCATTGTTTGCAGCTTCATCATAACACTGTAATTAGTAACAGTCCAGAAAAAAAAGTGTGTGAACATAAGATTAATAAAAATAAGACCTTTAAAAAGTGCTCATCTTATTTAGTGCTCAGTGGACTACATTCACACTTTGGCTTTATTTATGTGAGTAGCGGTTGTTGCTCCAGGACCTCTGTTGTATTTGTTTCAAAAGCAGAGAAGTCCAAGGTGAATGGAATTGAGTGCACAGCTTATCCCACCATCTCTCTTATCCCACTGAGACAGACCTTTTATTCTTTTATTCTTTTTTTGTTCCCCATGTTCCCTATGCATTGTGCATTTGTGTGCAAACACTTGATCTTGTCCCTCCTCAGTCATGCTTTTTTTATAAGGGAAGTGTGAGTATGCCAGTGTGCTGTACCCCCACCACTTGCTATTGCCCACTCTTCCCAGTGAACTCAATTTAGGGTTGTCCTTGCTGAGTTAGCAAGGGTGTTGGCAAACATTCTCATGCACCCCTTTGTCACGTGCATCTTAGCACCCAGTGCTGCCGGAGTCTTCCCCCTTTACGAGCAAGATCAAGGAGAAGGCCATTGGTGCCCCTCACCCCCTAAGCTCTTCACCATAACCTGCAGAGCTCTGTGGTTATTCTTGACACTCTCCAAGGTTTCATTTGACAGTATTTTTGGAGCCTACGTGATGGCAGGAAGAGGGAGTAGTTTAAGTGACAGATGAGCCGTGGCATTTCTGTGCAACATCTCAGGTCTAAGCCCTGGCAAGCAGTAGGCCTCTGAAGACAGTAAACTAGGTGGTGGATAGTTGCCTCTGGTTTCACAGGAGGGAGTTTCTAACCACTACTGTGATTTAGAATATCAGTATTAATATTGTTATAATACTGTTTTCAACTTTTAGTAGTGAAGAGTTTCTACATTCAGGTTTTTGAATTATCAGCCCACCATGGTTAATATTCCCTTTTTTTTAGGAGTATATCAGTAATACCGACTGCGGCTGCATATAACAACAAAGCTCAAGCAGAAATCAAACTTCAGGACTGGGACAGTGCTTTGCAGGATTGTGAGAAGGTACTAGATATGGAACCTGGCAACATAAAAGGTAAAGTAGAACATAAAGTTGCCCTTCTTTGTACTATTTTTTCTCTAGCAAATAAGATGGTATATACCCATTCATGTTGTTGAGCTTTAGATTAGGACCAAGTATAATTAAGGAAACAGTGTAGCTCCTAAAACTAATTTCAACATTTCTTTGGGGAGTTAGGGACGTTTTATGGAGTTCATCCTGTTGATCTGTAATGAGTATTCTTATGTGGTAGCATGGGGTTAACTCTTTGTTATATAATGACTATAAGCCCTCTTGTATTCGTGCAGCGTAATAGTTCCATAATGCCCACACTGAAATATTAATTAACTTAAAAGCAACATGAAAACAATGAAAGTTGCTGATTTAATCCTTTGTGAGGGCAAGGACTTGAATGTAGCTACCTGTATTTGCATGGGTGCAGGGAAAAAATTTTAATAATATGAAAAGATGCTTCAGAATTCGTAACTGCTATGTGAAAAGATGTCATGTGAAATTGCATTATTAAAAATTATCAAGAGAACAGTTACTACGAATATAGAGTCATTATGAAGTAAATGTGAAATTTAAAAAACCATATAGACACTTAATATGTCTAGAAAAAATAGTGTACTTTTAGCCACTGTATGCTTTAAATACATAACTAATACACTTTGTTCCTTTGTAGCTCTGCTGCGCCGTGCCACTGTACACAGTCAGCTGCAGAATTATCAAACAGCCATAGAGGATCTGAATAAAGTATTGGGTGTTGAACCAGAAAACCCTATAGCTAAGGTAGAGATCAGTGAGTTGAATATGGCTAGAAAGAGATTGTTTGCAGTTGTAGCATAAAGTGAGTACAGTTTATGTTCTTTCATTTGAATATGAGTTTTCAGGACCCACTCAAGCTGCTGTGCCATTGATCAGTTTCCCAAGACCACAGGTGGTGGACATTAGGTACTTGTGATCAGATCTTCTGTTCACAACTTAATTGTGAGAAAAAAAATCTCTGTTGATTTAGATAATTTAGGTGCCTAAAAATTTGCTGTTGAATATGCTTTCAGTATTAGTGTCTTAGCTGATAAAAATTACTTGGAAATTTCTCTCAGAAAGATCCACTGGGATAGGTGCATTTAAGTTTGACACATAATCAAAAGAAAAATTCAACAGAGATGCCAAGCTTCTATTGTTGTAGTGGTAAAGTCAACACAAAAGGAGAGGACCTGGGTTCTGTCCTCACTTCAGCATGATCCTCATCTCTCACCTCCAGGCTAGAATGAAAAACCTTTGATACCTTCTGATAAATCTGGACCATTCATAGCTAATTTTGGATCTAAGAAAGCCAGATGCTTTCTTTGAAAATCAAGGTCAGGATGTGATCCTTGTGCTATTACTTCAGCTGTTTAGGAGAGGATTGATTTGTGTCTATTCATTGGTATCTTGGGTGTGTTTCGTGGGTTAGAACACAGTCTTTGCACTGGGACTCTACATGTCCTGAGCATCTTCAGTACTGGGCAGTTCTGATAGTTAACTGCTCTTTTTCTGTTATTTATGACTCCATCATACTGATCCCCCCACACACTTTTTTTGGTTATGGCTTCTGAATGCTGTTGAATTGTCTCATCACCTGAATTCTGTCTGGTTCTTGTTGGTGGCATAGTGTAAGCTGCCAGCAGCTGCTGATTGCTGCTTCTTTCCATGGAGTTATTTGATCACTGCTATTGCTTGACCCAGTGAGAGAGGTACAAGTTTGTTGTGTCAAATTCACGCACAGCATTTATGCCTTCTAGGGTGTTCTTGGAGATAAATTCCTCTCCAGAATAGTTCCTGAGTTTCACATTAACCAAGGAATTACATCTGTCTTGAGATTTGAATTTCTAAAAGAGATTTGGGATTTTTTTTTTCTGTTTACAAGAGTGAATCACTAAATAGCTCGTGAGTCTGTGATGAAAAACTCCACAGCAGTCTTTGGGAAAAGTTGTATCAAACAGGCTGTGCTGAGACTTCTTTCAATACCAGACATAAAAACTCATTTTGAGTACACTCTTCCAGAGATGTAAATGCATTAGTTCCTTTGCTGAGCAATGCTTTTGTAGCTCAGAGCAGATGTCTGTACTTTGTCCTTATCCATGCCAGCTATTATGCCTTGGCTGGCATATCTAGAAATGATAAGTGCTTAGGAGGGCATTTTTTTCAAGTTGCTCTTTGCTTGGAGGATCCTCAAAACTCTCTCGAGCTAAATAGGAGTGTATGGAACATATACAGAGTGTACGTTTATGTCCAGAATCCCTAACAGGAAAGTAAATTGGTTGTCAGTAACTGGATTTCTTCAAGGTACTTTGTCCACGTGAATCTTTGCTTGGTGCTGTTCTTATTTTTGTCTTGAGACAGGGAGTACTGAGATGGCACTTCCTTGCACAGCATTGAATTAGATTCAGAATAGTGCATAATGTTGGATGTATCTTACTCTGCTCTGAAAGTGTAAAGTGGTTTAGGAATTTAAGGGTTACAGTGGCAGTGCAGGTTGATGGTTGGACTTTATGATCTTAAAGGTCTCTTCCAACCTTGACGATTCTATGATTCTAAGTGCAGTTAAAATTGGTTTTTTTTGAGTAATAAAAAATGTTATGGAATGAGAAGTTGTTTGAACATCTAATTGTAGATCTTACAAGAAGAGCAAACCCTTTCATTATTCAGCAATGACCTTCTGCTACACTGTTAAGAAATGGTTGTCTCTTGGTTCTAGTTTTATCAGTTACATTTCCCCATCAGGCATCAGATTCACCATAGCATAAATTTTGATTTTGACTTTAGGCTATTTTGGAGATTTTTTAGGGAGCCCTTTTTTCTACATGTGTCTTCTTAGTAGATCATGCCAGATACCAGAATAGCAAATCTTTTTTTTCTTTCAACTTTTTTTTTTTTTTTGCTTAAGCAGTTAATTCAAGAAAAATGCTTATTTATTTCTGTGATATCTTCTGAGAGAGACAGAAATTGAGTGTTAATCTTGGTTTTGATACCAACTCTTGGGAAATTCACATTTATTTACTATCTTTTTATATTGGTAACATCCTGATAGTTCTTCAGGATCTCACGTGGATTATTTAATAGAGCATATTTGCTGTATATAAATAATAATTTATATACAAAATAAAAAAGGCTTCTGCTATTCCTGGTTTTTTTTCTCTGTTCCAGAAAAATCTGCTGGAGATTGAAGAGAAACTGAAAAGTTTAAAGCCTGTATCTGAGATTCAAGGCAAAGGAAAAAGAATACTTATTCAAGAGATAGAGGATTCAGAATGTGATGAAGAAAGAGGGGAAAATACAGAAGAATGTGAAAGAAGTGGTGGAGATAAAAGTAATGTCATATCATTTCCTATTTTATTTTAACCTGAGGAAAAACATTGCTTTTGACGTTGCAGTGTTTATTCATCCATATTTGCTTTCGAAGAATTTTGCCTGTTTGAAGACTAGAATTATACTTACTATGTAAAGTACATCCAAGTGTGAATCTAGAATCCAGTTTTATTACACATCTTTAGAATTCTTTTTTTAATGGGTATAACAGAGACAGAGGGAACATGTTGCTATAAATCACCTACTTCCCTGGGCCCTGTGTGATTTTATACCTGTCCTTTGATGTGGACCCAGTAACAGATATTTTTTGGTGTTAAAGAATATTTTGTGTTTCTTAGATCCTTCTCTCACACAGCGCTCCTGCATTCCCATGTCACATTTTGATTTTGCATTTTTCTTCCCTTGATGGGATCAAAGGATGTAAAAATGATCAAGTGGTAATTTTTCTTTTTGTTTGTTTTGAAAACTATCAATCTTTTTTTGGTTTTTAATGAAGGGGTAATGAGACACAACGGCAGTGACTTCTATGTTTTCTGTGCCTATGTAGTTCTTGGTCTTGAAATTAAATCAGTCTGTGGGTTTTCCAGCTTAATCATGAATGTTAGACTGTATGTGTGTGATATAATGATGCATTATTTGCACACAAGTTTAAGGAAAATACATTTTTCAAAATCAGTTGGTGTCCACTAAGTCTCCTCAGCTGTAACCCTGGAAGAAAGGATAGGTCATGTCCCTAGCCTAAATATCAGTTAATTTGGGGTTGCTTTCTATTGGGAACATTCAGATGACTATGTGCCTTCTAGCTCCATAGGAAGACTCCCATTCTGTTGATGAAAGGTTAGGCTTTTAAACATAGGGACGATTGTCAACTGACGTCAGTGGCATATGTGTTCATGTGAAATACTTGACTGTTTTTGAGATTTAAGTGGCAAGCATCGTCATAGATTACTCTGTGTTTTCTTGTGCAACTGGAAACAAATATGAATTTAGTTCAGTTAATGAATAAAAATGTTCTGTGAACCTAACAGCAGTAGGTAGACTAAACATCTCTATACATCTGGTCACGTGGTCACTGGCAGTCCAGTGGTCCATGTAGTCCTGTCATGTAATCACATTTATTTCACATTCTAGTTGGTAAGCCTAATGCATTCTTAGTAAGCTTACAGTTTAGAGATTGGGGGAAAAAATCAAAATATTTTTGTTTTCTTTAGCTCTGAAGAGCTACTGTGTTTATGTTTCATGGCCTTACAGTGAGTAAGGTCTTAGGTTTCCATTTTGAAGTTTTTGATTTGTAGAGAAGCAAAGTGTGTTTGATAGGAGACAATTAACTACTCCAGTGATCAGTTGTTGTATTTTTGGCATTTTGGCTTGCTGTTGTATTTTTGGCATTCCTGGTATTGCTTTCTGCTCTTCTCTACCACTATATTCCATGATCCTCTTTCCAGTGTGTTTGTTCATTTGGTATTGTTGGTTTGGTTTTTTTTTTTTAGAATTGTAATCTCTCTGAAGAAGGAACCCTTATTTATAATTCATTTGTGCAGTGTGTAACACAGTGGGGCCCAGCCTCTTGCTTTTAGGCTCTATTGCAAGCTTGCAATATGAAAATTTTGTACATGTTAAAACAGACAATATTGAAAATGCACTCTAGCATTGCATTTACAATGCATATCCTGAAGTTAAGAAAACCCCCCAATTACAGTGTCAGTCATTTTTCATTTTTATAAACAGAGACTGCTCCTAAGGAGAGATCAGAGTTATTTGAGAAGCTTGTTTTATTTTCTGGTTCAGAAAAATCCAGGTACAATCTCAATAATCTAAACCAAGAACACATAATACAAAAGAGATACTTGCTGACAGTGTGTGGCAAATGAAGAAAAAATATTTTAAGATTTTAGAAGTTCATCTATAGAGATTTAGAACATTCCAGTTGCCTTCACATGTAGGTAGTTCAGAGTGGATGAAAGAGCTGAAAATGTTTACGGGCTTCATAATGGGGGAATTCACTGTGAACTGAACTTAGATACATTGTTTTTCATTCTGCCACTGTTATTCTCGTGCCATGCTTCTGGAGGATAAACACTTTTTGTAGCTGGAAATTAATTTTAAATGAAAGACAATGGCATCCATTAAACAAACCCCAAACTGCAAATATTCCTTTTGGAGTATTCAGTAGTTTGTTGTTTTTTTTTTTAGGTTTATGATGGTCTTTCCATTTTAAATTTCTTACTGTAGTAGTAACATACATTAAAATTCTTTCTAGATTTTATTTGTTGTCATTCTGATCAAAATTCTGCCCATACTTCTCAATACCTTTCTTAAATTTTCTTTGGAATTTATAATGCATGTAGATTTATTTTTTTTTTAAGAGAAGTTCATAAGTGATGATTTTTTTTTTTTAGCCCAGCATACTGCTTTCACAAATACATTTCTCTGTAGAGACCAATACAAGAACTTTGTTTATGTTATAAACACTGAAACTGAAAGACAATGAGAACTATATTTGAGAAATATATCGGTACAGTTTTGTGCATGTTGTTTACTTAGTCCAGAAATATTTAGGCAATTAGTATTACCCACCAACTAAACAAGGTAACTGTGAGTATTCCTATTTTCCAGGGCACTCCAAATGCTATGTTTCCAGTTTAATTCAGGACTGGTTCTGTGCACTTCATCTTCAGGAAATTTTCTCCTCTATTCAGGAAGTGACGGTCACGTTAATGACATTCACATCACATTTTATCTGCCTCCCTTGGTTTTTCTTTTTCTGTAGAAGTTGGGATGCTTTTCGAGAGTGTTTCACTGTGTTTTCTAAAAACTTGCCTTATTACCTGTTTGTCTGTGACATTTAATTTTTTTTCTGTTTTGTTGAATGTATGTATAAATAATTAAGTTTTTTAAAAATGTCTGTGTGGGTAGATTTATCGTATTATTGTGTCCACATGGTATTTCAAAACAGACACCACAGCTAGGGAAGGGGCAGTTGGAGCTTTTTTCTGTTAGACACTAAAGAATTTGTTGTTTTTAAAATTTTTATGCTTTCCCATCCTGTTCAGTTTGATTTCAGTAACATTTTGCTCATTAAAAAAATAAATTCGTTTGTAACAACCTGAAATTCACCCATGTTGAGTCAACTTCAGATGTTTTGTTTGAGTCAACTGGAAGTATCACTCCAATATATGAAGGCATGAAAAACTTAAATATTTCAAGTTAAGGGAAGGTGAAACCCCAGCATGGTAATAGTACCACAACACGGAGTTGCCTTTCTGTGAGTACTAATATCAAGAGTCAGGCACTCTGCAGAAATCTCTATTTGAATGCTGTGATAATAATCTGGTAGGGATTCAGGTGAATAAGGAAAATGGAGATGTTATTATCTGATACCCTTGTTCTATAATTTTTTCCTAATTAAATTGGTAATAAATAATAGTGCTAGTTGAACTATAAGAAGTACGTATAAGAGGGGTTTTGACATGATGTTTAAATGAAAACTCCACGATAAGGATTTAGAAGCTTTTATCTCCCCTATTGTATGTTGTATTCGTGGAGAGTTTTGAAGTGTACAATGTTACTGGTTTGTTAGCTGTGTGATCTAATTTTAGCATGCAAGCATTTTGATTTGGTCATGGAAAATCGAAGCATCCGCGTTGTAATAGCCAGTATGTAAAGAGTTAATTTCAAGGTGAACTCTACCATTCTGACGCTACAGGACAGGGGTTCCCATGTGCCCAGCAAGGAGAAATGACATTTCCTAGTAACACCTTCTCAATAACAATTGTAAATTACTTGTAAGTAGGAATTTTCCTGTGTCCTCGGAAGTGTTTTCTGAAGCAGATAAATCTCGGTAGCATTAGGGTGTCTGCAGGATTTGGCCCCCTGTCCTTTGGCAGCCCCCCCCCGTTGGCAGGACGATAGTTCGTTCCGATGATGCAAGCTCCAGCCCTGCTCATTAACTTCCTTGCAGGAACCGCTGTGCCAGTGGCGGCGGAGGCGGCGGCCGGGGAGCCCGCGATGGGCAACGCGCACAGAAAGTTCCGTAGCAAAGGAGGCGGCGGTAAGGCGGAGGGCAGAGAGAAGCAGAAGCAGAAGGAGCCCACTGAGAGCGGATTAAAAAAAGACACACCAGAGAAGAAGCCAGGAAAGCATTTGTCAGACCATGAAGGTGAAGTTAATGGCTATTTACACAGCGATCAGAAGAGTGAAAGCTCTGAATCTGGGAGCTCCAGATGGTATACCGCAGGGTCTCAGTGGGCTAGTGGTGCCAGTCCTACTTCACTTCCTGCTATTGCAGCAAAACTAAAAACTGAAGGAAACGAGTTATTTAAGAGTGGACAGTTTGGAGAAGCTGTGCTCAAATACTCGGAAGCAATTGAATATGTCACTGGTCTAGGTGAGTGTAATATCTTATACTTAAATCCAGGACTGTTTAGATGATTTAAAGGAACTACCGATGAATTAAATTAGTCTGTTGCTGATTTTTGTCACGAGTTACTGTGTAGTAAATTCTCATTTCAGTAGACAGTAATTCATGTGACAAAATATAGGAACAAAAGTAATATTTTAATTTCCTTGAGACAGAGCTGTTGGCATTTATTTATGCTTGAATAATTACGTGTTTTAGGTGACATGATAAAAGCTCCTTACAGCTTTGCAGTGTCAGCAAACTGCATCACTGCAGTGCAACTTGGAGCAGGCAAGTCTTTAATTCTTGAGTGTCATTTTAGTAATGGTCTTTCGTTTTAATTGTAACTTCTTTTAGGAGAACGAAGTCCAGATGATTTAAGTATCTTGTACTCAAACAGAGCAGCATGTTACCTCAAAGAAGGGAACTGCAGTGACTGCATTCAGGATTGTAACAGGTAAATTGAAACCTCCCATGTAAAGCAACATTCCTGATGATCAAACATTTAACTGATATATTACTATTGCAGTTTGACTCAGAACAATATCAATAAGGTCTGATTCCCTGTCTAAAAGACAGATATCTTTGTCAGTTATGTAAACAGTCACATGGAACCTAGGGAAGGAGTAACTTTTAACTTACTGTCTTGCTGTGTAAGGGCAGTTTTTAAGCTTCTTGTGTACATAGAGATGCGTAGCAAGATTAAAATTTTTAATGTAAAAGCAGGTTTACAATGGTGTTCTGCAATAACTTATATGTAAAAGCTTTGTTAAGCCAGATACTTATCACAGAGTTGGAAATTGCTTTCAAGAATGTGTGTGGTGTATATGTGTGTGTCCTCTGTGTTTGGTTTGTTGTTTTGATTTGGGGTTTTTTAATATATACTTTGAATAGTCATAAACAGTAATTACAGCTGTTCAGGAATTGAGCTGAAGTCCTTTCTGCTTATTCTGGCTCTTAAGGATACAGGAGTTAGAATAGATCAGATACCTTCAATAACTTCCAGACATTGCCTTCCACTAAATTATTACTGTATTTCTGATATATCTTTTTTAAACATTTTCATAGATTGAGTTAGTAATGCTGAGGCTTAAGGTGCAAAAAAGTATCCTAAAGCAATTAGAAATCATATTAATTAATCAGTTGAGTTTTTGCACAGCACAACTCAGCTGCTAAAAGCTTCCAAAACTAGAAATAAAATAAGCATGTACTTTCATAGTAACAAAATATATAACTTACTGTATATATTCTACCTGACAAAAAAGTTTTCTGAAAAAAAGACTCATTAGCAATATTTTGTTAAAACATGCAGGACTACAGTCAGCTGGTCAATAAAACAAGAACCATCACATTTTTCTATCCAGGAGGTTTGATGTGTGTAAGACTTCAGCTGAAATGGTTTTGGGTTTTGTATTCTTACCAATTGGGAGCTTATTTTCTTACTACTTAATGATAGTGTCCTTACTATCATGCTTATTTTCTGAATACACAAGTACCCCTGATGCTTAGTGGTAGAAATCATTTTAGAGACTGGGAAGCAGGAATGCAAAACTACAAACATGTGTAAATTAGACAATGTCAAACAAATCTTCCCTAGGCAACACAACATAAAGAAAGATCTACAAATAGGTTACTTGATTTCAAAGTAAAAAATTGTGTAGTGCTGATACTTGTGATATGAAAATAAGTATTTAAAATTTATCTTTTATTGAGTTTTAGCTATTTGGGGCTTAGAATTGTATAAAAACCCCTGTGTTGGATCTCTTGTCTCAAGATTGTGGTTTGGTGTGCCTTTGATTCTTGTTACAAAGAGTGAAAGTACTGATGTTAATTTCTTCAGTACTATTGTGTGGTTTGGTCCCTGGCTGTATCATCTTTGCACTCTACCCTGAATATGTAGTTTTCCATTCCCACTATTCTTCAAGCAGTGTTGTCTTCCACTGAATTTATTTATGGTTGTTTTTTCCTTCATTCTCGAGGTTAGAAATTTGAAATTGTGTTAATATTCTTCTGAGTTACAGAATGTCAGGCATTTTTGCAGACATTTTGTAGGGGCTGTGATGTTGTGTGCAGTTGTAGCAGCATAAAGGAAATGGAACATTTGAAGTATTTATGTGAAATTCAAAATGTTTTTTCTAGAAATCATAGTTTCTCTAGCTTTAGAAGGAGTAATGATGCAAAGCCAATTTACAGCAGAGAAGGCCAGCAGCCTCCTTGCGCTTATAAACAGGAGCACAGCCAGTGGATTGAGAGAGGTGATTATCCCCTCATAGTCAGCACCTGTTAGACAACACTGTGATAACTTCTGGTTTTCAGCTTCCTCAGTACAAGAAAGACAGTGATCACCTGGAGTGAGTTCAGTGACGTGTCACAGAGCAGGTTCTGGACTCTGGAGTATTCCCTGAAGAGGAGAGGCTGAGGGAGCTGGGTTTGTTCAGCTTAGAGGAGAATGGCTTCCAGGGGTTCTAGGAGCAGCCTGCCAGTTCCTATGAGGAGATTATCCACAGATGGATCCTGGCTCTTTCTGTCAGTGTTGTGGGAGGATAAGAGACAACAGACAAAAATAGAACCACACAAGGTTTGGGACTGTGTATTAGGAGAAACCTCCCCATAAACAGTGTGGGGCATTGCAACAGATTGCCCGGAGATGTTTTGCAGAGGTTCCCTTGAAGGTTTTCAAGGGCCAGCTGGGTCAAGCCCTCAGCAACCTTGTCTGATCTTGGGAGTTGACCATATCTGGGTTGGACCAGGGACATCTCAGCCTAAATTACTTTGACTCTATGAAATCTAATTGTCTAGACTCATCTTAATTGCAGTATTTCAAAGCTGATCCTTCTTTCTCTTCAGCAAGAATCATTGATTGAAAAAAAAGTAGTCTTTAAGAAATAAAGCCTTTGTGGACTGCTTCTTCATGTTGCTGGAAAAGCACATGGTGTTTGGGAGGACTTCTGATGGCACAGTGTTGAACTCTGTGTTCACTAGGCAGACAATCAGAAGACTAAACAGACACAAGACAGGCAAAAACCTAAAAAGCAAAGAAAGACAGGTGTACATACCTGTCTTACTGACTGTATTTTTTATGTGCATACTTTCCTGTAAGGAAGAGCAATCGAAAGTTACGTAAGTGAAAGCACCATGTACTCGAAACCCTCGTAGATCTAGGCATGTCTTAAGAAAATAGCTTTTGCACTTAAATAACTGCCATTACATTAATCATATCTCGATGATAAATGCAGTTTTCCAGATAGAGTAGAGTAAGCTGTAGTAAAAGCACTAACCATTTCAAAACTGCATGTAATTTAGGGTATTAATGAATTTAGGGTGAACCACTTAGTCCCATTTTCCTTAGTTATGTTACTGGAAAGCCCATCTGAAATCATGAAGTTATGTATAATTGTGTATATTATAAAATATTTTTATTATTATTATTTCAGTTACTCTGTTTCAATCCTGCATTTTTCTGTTGTTCTCTCCAGAGCTCTGGAGCTTCAGCCATTTTCCCTTAAGCCTCTTCTACGACGGGCAATGGCCAATGAGTCAATGGAGCGGTATCGACAGGCATACATTGATTATAAAACAGTCCTACAAATAGACAGCAGCATCCAAGCAGCAAATGATAGTGCTAATAGGTAACTCCACTTACAAATTTTCTGATATGAGTTAAAATAGAAAAGTAGACCTTAAATTTGTTTGTTTTACATGCTCCCTCTCTTCTGTATCCCTCGTAGTTGTCATCACAATTAGTATATTAGAGGACTGACTGTTTCATTTAGTTGTTTTCCCATAATTTCACAGTTTTCCTCTGCCAGCAGTAGGTAAATTTCTGTTTTTTAAAAATGTAATATTTTAAAGTTGGGGGTTTTTTTAACTAGTGCTTCCACTTGTTGTCTTTCCTAACTTGTATTTTTTACCATATAAAATAATACTCTGAGGTCCATACTTTTTCTCTGACATTTCTGTTTGCTTTTCTTATTAACAATCTTTCTGTGGCAGTTGAAGATTTATGTTAAGCATGAATCATTCAGTATTCTGCAGAGGTGTAAAAAACATAATTGAATATTATCTTTGACTTAAGTATTAATCTTCCAGCATTAATTCTTGCTGCCAAGAGAGGTTTGAATTTGTATAATTGTATTTTAATAGTATAAAATCAGAGTGTACACACTATTGTAATTGTGTTCTCATCAACATAGAGTAAGTACATAAGTGTATGAATTATAGGATTTTTCCATTCCCTTTTCTTTCCTTTTTTCTTTTAATGGACAAAAAAAAGTATATGTGAAAGCAGAACAGCCATTAATCGTTGAGCAGGAACACACAAGCATGCGACTTTTAACAATGGAATCTAGTACCTTTTTTTTTTCTGTTTAAGGCAAGGCCATGAACACTTGCACTATTACTTCATTAAAAAGTCCATAATATCTTTCTTTAAATTCTGCTTATTTGGCCAGAGAAGATCATGATGCTTTATCATCTGCTCTTACAATTACTGTTTTTGATAACACAACAAATAGTTACTAATCTCCTGTATCTATGGTGATAATGGAACACTTGGATTGGTGAGATAATTGCTTTTCCTGGTATTTATGTAATTATTACACTTCTTAAAAATCTTGTTGGCTTATTTTATCTGCAGATATTCTTTTAATATTTCTCCTTGACTTGTAACTTGCTTACTAATAAGCTTATCTCCCTTTTTCCCCTTAACACTCTTCCTTTTCTCCTCTCTAGGCCTTCCTTATGTTTTTAGCTTCACTGCTCATTACTCTTTCCTCCCTGGCAACCCATCACCTTATTTCAACTGCTTCTTCCTTCTTCTCTTCTGCTGGTAATTCATTTTTGCTTGCAAATTGTTAGTTTCTAAAGCATAGACCTCCTGCGTAATTGAACTTCTACTATAATTTTTCTTTAATATTCCATCACTTATGAATTCAACTGAATACCAAAGTATTCATTTTAATTTCCAAAGTAAGAGACCTTTCTAAAAACGAATTTTAATAAAACATTACAGTTACTGTGCTGCCTTTTAACTTAAAGGGACAACACCAAAATGTAATTTAATTTTTTTTTTAATATTAAGAATATCACGTCTTAACAACCTGCTTATATTGGAGGATTTCTTGTTTTTTAAGTTCCTCTGGGAAGTTGGATGGTGATGCTGTAGGAAGCTGATAGGAAAAACTCATCATCCTACTTGTGTACCAGGGTGGGTTTGTTGAACAATGTTAAGGCTTGTCTCTCTGTGGTTACATATCTAAGCAGACTTTCCAAAAACCTTAGAATCAAATGCATATCTTTAATGTTCATGTAAAAAAACCTGTAGACTTTTAGTATCAAACCTTTACCTGATCATTTTGCAATTAAAAGGAGACAATTTGAGTGTAAGTACAAACAAGTATACACAGTTATTTGCTTATCTTGTTTATTAGATGATGTTGAATTGTGTCTTTTATTGGTTCCTGACGTGACTTTTTAGATAAATTGGAAGGACTGTTTCTTTTAATGGTGTGTGACAAGTAACTGGAAATTGCATTTCAAGCATGCTTTTAATTAGTGGCATTTTCCTAGCTTTGTGAACATCAATGGATTTCCTACTTTGTGTATTTTAATCTCCTCTTGAGTGAGTATTTTATTATTTGCTTTTCACAGTTAGAAATACAGAAACTCTAACGTGTAGGAATATATTTATGCATTTCCTCTTACTAAAAGGAAGTTTCATTCCAGTTGTCTCAACTCCTTTAATATTAGTGAGGAAATTGCATGAGATAGCTGTATTCAAGTAGTATGTTTTTTACAGCTGTGTTAGATGGAAATGCACCTGATATAAAAAATTTTAGGTTTCTTTGCCATAGTATCAATGTGACTTTCTTTGCTACTCAATTCAGAATTTTCCTCTGTTAAAGTGTGTATTAGATTTATGACCAGTTGAACTTGACTCTTAAGCTTATGTTGAGATTAGATGATGTTTATCTCACTGTTATTCTCATAATTGATTAAATTTGTTGTTGTTTTTTTTTTAAAAAATTACAAAATTTCTAATGGAACCATGAAGTCTCATGTGGCTTCACTTACTATGTTAACTTAGGTCTTCAAAATGTAGCACAGCAGTGGGAAACTCCCATTTGAATGGAATTTGGATTGAGCCTCTCATGGACTGAAATAGTTGACTTATATATATGTGTTGGTTTAAGAAAGACTGAACAGTTTTTACATACAATGAAAATATTTTTAAATGGGGATAAGGAGTGATCGATTAATGAATTTGTGACTATAAAGCTCTAAAATGCCACTTAATGCAGGCTACATTGTGACCTGCATTGGTTATTTAGACAATTATTGTTTCATTTGACATTTGCAAAGTTAGGTACGACACTTTGTCTGAGGATATTGTAATCTACACTTGTTATAAATAACACCTATGAACAGCTGAGAAGAATAAACAAAATAAATACATCCATTTTTTTCATATTTCTTTACTGGATGTGGTAGGAAGCATTTAGAGCTTAGTTGCAGAAATCAGTCATTGGCTTAAATATTAACAGGTCTTGTCTTCTAAATACCATTGACAACTGTGAAAATATTTTTTTAAATTAGTCTGAATAATTGTTCAGTTGTTTTTTGAAAAATTAGAACATTGCATTATTTAATTAGGGTGTTAGTTATTGAAGTGTGAGTTAAAAATATGAAAAGTCATGTTGGTGGGGCTGTTCTCTTTTAGAATAACGAAGACATTAATAGATCAGGATGGTCCCAGTTGGAGGGAGAAACTGCCACCAATTCCAGTTGTTCCAGTTGCTGCTCAGTTACACAGGTGGGATGGAGGAAACTTCACTTCAGAGAATAAGCCAGGAAGTACTATAGACATCAACAGAGAAGAACAATTGGAAATGAATTGTATGTATGACTAATGCAAATATATATACAAAAAAAGAAAATAATTTTAATTGAAAGATGGAATATGTTTTAGTAATGTCAAAGAAACTGCTTTAGAAAATACTTTTCAGAGACCTTTGTGAAAAGCCGAAGTAGATGACTGTCATTTACATGATTGAGTTTAATGTGCTTTATGGAGCACAGGTATGATAATTTTTTTAAACCAAGTGATGTAGTTTGCAGCATGTAATTTCTGAAATTATATAAAATCAGCAGAAATACTCATCAGCAGTATATTGAGTCATATAATGAGCATCAGGTATAGTTATATGTCTGACATCATAGCATAGTTATAAAACAGTTTTCCCCCCAAAAAACACCACCCAAACAAACATCCAACTTTGACAGAAGACATTTAGGAGTCATCTTTCAAAGATGTCAGTTCTGCACTTGTCTATACATAATCACTGAGTGCTAAACTCTAGGAAACTAACTTCCTTCCTGATTTTTTTTCTCTTCATTGCAGTTTCCATTTTTCTTCTTCAATAAATCAGATGAAGGAACCTTTCTGGTTCATATTTTATTGACATTAAACATTCTTTTTGCAAAGGCCTTAACTCAATGATATTTTTACTCAAGTATTAATTGGTTTCCCTTTGAGTTTATTTCAATATAAACAAAAGTAGTGCTGAGGATACTCTCCCCTTGATGAACACAGAGGTGGCTGTGGTGCATAAGTGGGCTATTGGCCAAATGTGTAACAGTGATGGGGTTATCTGTCCATGATGCATTGTTGCAATACTGAATGTCCTCTAAGTGCTTGTCTCAGTCTGTTTCAAATAGAGCAGGCTTTGGTTAGGCTTTGATTTTAGAAATGTTAAATGAAGGCTGTGTAACTCTTTTCTTCACTGAAGGACGGCTGACTCTAAGGTTCTGGTTGCCTTCTCAGGGCTCTGCTGCATGTGAGACCTGACAGTGGTAGCTGGTGCTGAAAGCCTGCCAGCAACAATGTTCAGTCAGCAGTTAAAACTTACTGTTGGCTGACACTTTTTTGCGACAGTTGTGTCTTGTTTTGTGTGTTGTGCAACCTGAGTTGTAATTTAGTTTTGTGTTTCATGTAGTTTCCTAATTTTTTGCCGAGTTCAAGTTTTCTGGCATAGGAGACTGCCATGTTTTTATAAAAGAACTCAGTGAGTTTAATTATTAGTTAAAATTGACAGGTTATATACAGTGTTGAAAACCTGAAGCTTGGCAAGGGGCTTATACTCTTTAGCAAGGTGCAAAAAGTAGATTATGATTTACTTAGAGCTGTGTTGGTACTTACTGTTTGCTCACAACAGAGACATGAAACGCAGTCAGGATCTGTTTTTGCATCACAAACACAGCTAAAAATTGCAGTCTAACCCAAAAGCATATGAAACAAATGATGTGGAGTTAAGAATGAAAGGCAATTATGCAATAACACAGTATTGATAAAAAGAAGTGTAGTTAGGTGTTTCCAAGTTCCTCAAAGCATCTTTTATACATTGTTATTAACACAGTATAACAGATGTAACTCCGACTAATGCAATGATTTGTTTGTCATTATTGGCATAGTAATTGTGATAGTTACTTGCAGGAGGAACATCAGATCAAATTATGGCCACCTTGTGGTATGATGGTAGAGATCTAGAAGGTCTTTAATACTGATGATTAAATCTCCACCATTGCAAGTAAAACTAACAACTCAGTGGAGATAGGTAGGCCCTCTCTACCCTCTAGAAGGAGAAGGTAGAAGGAGAGAAAAGCTTAGAGATTTCTATTGCATTCCCATTATTTTCACCCTGGTGCATGGGGAAGTATGTGTTGAACCAAATGTAGATATGGTAGTTTATCCCTTTCTTAGAGCAGCAGGGAGACAGGGGACAGAAATGGCAATGTGCAGACTGATAATGACACTCCAGTTGCCAGGCTTTTATTCTTAGTCTGCACAGATAATTCAGCAACCCTTAATGATCTGACCTTCTTATGTAACACTGTGATCCCTTTGTGATGTAGGTGAGGAAGCTATGGAGAAATTCAAGAGATTGAAAAATGAAGGGAATGATTTTGTAAAAATGGGGGAATATGACGAAGCTATAAATAAATACAGTGAATGCATGAAGTTAAATGCTGAGGAATGTACGGTCTACACTAACAGGTAAAGATCCAAAATCTAACTCTGCTTTGTGGGATATATTTTCTCACTGCAAATAGAGATTTTACATCCCGTCAGTAACTATTGTGAAAAAGGAATTTTTTCCCCACTTGATAAGTATTTCTAATAACAAAGCTGATTTTTTGTTAAACCACATTATTTTCCAAGGGGAGGAAGTATTCATGTCAGTGATATATATCTTAAAATCCTTTATCTAAATAGAATAAGCAATAGTAAAAGTTACAATTAGCATAGCATAGTGCAGCATTTTTTGAGAATACTGGCATGATTTGAATTAAAAACTTAACATGCAGTAGTAGTACCTCAAATATGAAGAGTAATAATTCAGAGAAAATGTACATTCTGAGAAAATAAAAGTAGGAACACAGTCATACATCAGTATTATTTTAAGGGTTGACCTAATTCTGTAGTATAATTCTTTATGCTGTAATCTTATCAGCTTTCACAAACTAAGAAGGATTTGATTAGATCAGTAGTTGAATAGGAGACTTCCAAGTAATAATTAAGTGCAGAAAGCAGTATTGTTTATTTAGTCTAGAGCACTTTTTTACCCAGAATGGCTGTAAAATAATCTGTATTACCACTATATTATAATATTATTATTATTTATTATATTTTATTTATCATTTTACATTAACTGCTATACTGTCATATTATCCTAACATAGCCTCTGCTTTTAAAATACTTGCATATCTGCCTAACTTTGAACCTTAGTCATACTTGAATTTTGGCTTTTATTGCAGGAATTGCCCTCTCTAAATCCGTCCAGTGATGTTCTTAATACTTAATGATTTCGATGTACTTTAAAAAAATACCACATTGAGACTGAATTGTGTGAAGTATTGTAATTAACATTTACGAGTCAGATACTGTTAGCACTACAACACTGTAGAATTTACTTATATTGCAGTGTATTCTGTTTTTCTGTGTTAGAGCTCTCTGTTACTTGAAACTGTATAAATATGAAGAGGCTAAGCAGGATTGTGATCATGTTCTTCAGATAGAAGATTCTAATATTAAAGCTTTTTATAGAAGAGCACTAGCGTACAAAGGATTACAGGTGAGGAAAAAGAACATGGCAGGTATCCTTAAGCACCTCTAAACTTGCTTATCCTCTTCAAAGGCAATGAGGTAGTTGCAGTCGATGGGTGAAAGCAAACGAAGTACACAGTGTGATGATCTATTACTTTGTAGAGCACTTAACATAGATAAAACATTATATAAATATTTTTTCAGCATAAAAACCTGCATGTTGACATGTAATGATTTGAGAAAACACAAGAATATTGGAATAATGAGATTTGACTGGAGATGGTTTAAACAAGTTTCAAATCTCTTCTAATATCCTAATATCCTGAGTATCCCAGTCTTTTCTGTCTGTCAAGGTGTTTACTATAACTTTGCTGGTGAAAAATGGGTTCTCTCCAAGTCTGTCTTTATCTGTCCAAACTAAAATCTCAGGCTGTCTTTGGGCATCTGTTCATGTTTAAGTGCCTGTCATATTAAACCAGGGTTTTAATTATCTTTGTTTTCTCTCTCTTCTTTCCCCAAAGACATTATGAACCTTTGTCAGTAATATACTTGGTGGAAGTGTTGGTATCCAGCCTTTTCCTTTCCATCTGCACAGTGATGTTGGTGTCTGTACAGTGCTTATCTTAACACACAATTCTTAGAGTATTCTTTTACCTGAGCATCATAAATGCGGACTTAGATTGCTCATATCCATCCTGAACGTGACTGCAACTCTCATGTTCTATCACTTGAACTACACTGCTCCTTTTGTCCATCCCTCTGTTGGTTCCCCTTCTTTGGTGATGTTAAATTAGCCCCTACACTTCATAATTCTTTCACAGCAATCCTTGCTCTGCTTGTCAGCTCTTACCTGGTATTAAATTATCAGCTTCTCACTTCTGTTGGCTCTCGATGGCAGCTCTTGTCATCTGCTTCTTTATTAAATGTTACAAGTGTCCTTAAACAAGCATCTTAAGTGCTTTCTTCTGTGTTGCTCTTTGTTACTGGAGGTCTGCCAGATTTCATCATTGTCCTTCAAATGAATGGACTTACCTCAAATTTCTATTATGTTTGATGCCTTAACAAAGAATTACCCTATTGTTTCTCAGCTTTCAAATCACCTGAGGACAACCTGTTTGTGCTTAGCACCAGCCTATTCCCATCCCATGTTGTCATTCCAAATGCAAGTCATAGGAACCAGAGGATCTTTTGTCCTCCATTACAGTAGCAATAAAATTCTGAAAGTTTGATTAATTTTCAAAAAAGGTGAAAAGCCTTAATTTTGTGTAATATTTTTTCTGTAACTGTGCCAAGGTACCTGGAATTAATCACCTCTAACTTTGTTGTTGAACTTGGTAAAAATCAGTGTAAATACGAGTATGTAGTGATTCTACCAGTCCACAAAAAAGGAATTACACACTTATGAAGAATGTCAAGAATTGGGGAAATAACTTCTGCTTTTTTGAGTATTCTAGAAAAAACTGCCTTTTTTGTATTATCGAAGACAACCTGAAACACAGTGTTCATGGATTTCTTCAGAACAGTCTGAGCTGTGGACTCCCAAAATGTTCTGTTGTGGTTCGATTAAATGCTTCATTATTGCTAATTCCAGGGATGTGAGTGATTTGTAAAACCAGAGAAAGCAACAAAAGTGATCTGAAGTTGACAAATGACTCTCTAATGAAGAATTTTAAGAGCTAAAAACGTAGTTTGACAAAGACCTAACTAAGCTGGGAAGTGTTATTTGTATATAAATATCCAGATATTTAACCAGAAAAGCTGCAGTGGAATTTAATGTAGTAAAGGAGGGGTTTTTTAATAGATTTACCAAGATGTAATTAAGGGAAGATCAGGAAAGTATCATGCTTGTGTGATGAATTAGGCCTGTGACGTAGGACACAGGACCCCAGATCTCATCTCCTACAGGTGGTAGTCCAGTCTGGGTACTGCCATCTTGTATGATTTTTGCTGAGGAGTCTGGGAGGCTGCAATTTTAAATCCAGGAGGGTTGGGTGTTCGCTGACCCTTGTTACTGTTTTCTTTTCTCTGTAGGTGTGAATCTTTGCATCTGTAATTCAGATGGTTTAGCTTAATTAGTAGCGGATTTCTGATCTGCAACCTGCATTCATTTGCTAAGGCTGCATAATCCTCATTCTCAGTCTTCCTTCACAATCTAAGAGGCTTCAGTTCACCTGCAGGCTTAGTGCAGCATCTCTGGACCTTGAATACTGGTCAGCAGTATTGAACAAAATACTCTGTGTGTGAAGGAATGAGAGTGACTGGTACAGGAGTGCTTTTCTTACGGTTGAGATGCTGAGGAAATACCTCAGCTGGTACATGAGGATTTTTTTCCATGACAATACAAACGACTTAACAGTAACCTTATGATACTATTTGGGAACAAAAAAATACTAGGTCCCTCACACAAGAAATTATGTTGGTCTTTTACTGTCTGCATGGTCTTTTACTGTTTACTGCTACATTTCATCTATATTGTTGATACTCCGGCCCTTGGGGTGTCTTGATATTTTTCTGTGATATTCCAGTCTTCCTCAGAACTGATGCTATTAACTTTGTCTCTCCAGAAAATTTAGTCTAAGAAAATACTAATTTCTGATGTAAAAATTGGAAATAAAAGCATTGAACAAATGACAAGACTGATTATTGAGGAACTGTGTCCTAATGCCACTCTGTCCCTGTGTTTGTCCTAATCCTGTTTATCCCAGAGTTCATAGTATAATCCCAATCTTTTCAAATATTACCAAAAATTTCACTGTAAGAGATGGTCTATTGGATTGAAGCCCAGGAAGATTAGGTATATTTTTAATCAAAGCTCAATTTAATGCTCTTTTATTGGCAAAGCAAGTATGCAAACTTGCTGGACTCACATTAGTCTTGAAGCAGTGTTACAGTGTAAGCAATTATGCTTAAAAGCAGCAGTCTTCAATAATTTGTTCTTTGATACAGGGAATATATTTCTGAAAATAAATTATTTCTTATTACATATTTAATTGGGAGTATTTAGTCACAAAATATTAACTCAAACTCATTTTCCTTTTTTCTCCTCTAGAGAAATTACAGTGTCTGTATTTAGATATTTTTTCGTCTACTTTCTGTCCAGATCCTAGGATTTTTGCTTTTCTTATTTGTAAAGGACAGTATGGTAGTTCAAACTTACTTTTCTAATGATGATTTTCCCTTCTACTTACAGAATTATCAAGCCAGTGTTGATGATTTCAACAAGGTACTTCTGATAGATCCAAACGTTCTTGAAGCACAAAAGGAACTAGAGGAGGTAACCCAACTGCTTCACCTTGACAGCAGTGCTGGAGCTGGCAGTCCACAAAAGCAAAGGAAGAAAGTAACCGTACAAGAGGTAAGAACACCTGTTCATTTTTTAAAAGCAAACAGTACAGAAGCCACACATTCAAAGAGATAATATTAAAACTTTTGTTTTGCCCATCTTAGCTCTAGATTTTTTGGGGGGTGGGGTTGTACTTTTTGTGTTATTTTGAGGTCATCTTGGAGGATGTGTACATATGATGTTTTCAGTGTTGATTACATTCTATAATAAAGCTTGGACTGCTCTGAAGTATATGGAAAAATGGAAGAAGTCCTTTTAGATGGCACTAAACTTGAGGATATGCTCCTTGTAAACAAAAACTGCATGGACTGAAGTGTTTTACAGAATGCAGCTGTCACGTAGCAGTTTTGCTTGTAAAGTCTGTGCTTCTCAGGCAGCCTCTGGGGCTGTGCTGGCCAAGGTCCATGTTCCGTAGGTGTGCTAGCTGCTCCTGTGCTGGTCCTACAGTTATGGGTCTGAAAAATGAAATCCTACCTTGAAGAGCAAGAGTAAATCATCTGTAGGATCTTATCAAAGAAACACACGATGTAATGTTATGTAGAGGATCAAAATGTCAGCCTCGCACAGTTCAGGGTATAATTAGCTGATGAAAGGATTTTCTCAGTCATCTGATGTTTTTGGATTGTAGCTTTGCTGGTCCTTTAAGAATTTATTTTCCCCCCTTTAATTTAAAAATGTATAGTTAAAATATATAGTGACCAGTCTGTACAGTGATAGTGTAATTTGATAATGTAATTTCAGAATAGTGGTATAATGGAAATGCAGTTATTTATACAGAAAAAGCTTGTTTTCTTGAAATGCTTCACATTGTCACGAGTTCATGGAATTTTATATAATTGGCATAATCTGGGTATAGTGTTAGTTAAGCTCTGAGTTGTGACAAACAAAGGGACCTGGAAAGTGTTTAGAGGAGGTTTGGTAAGTGACCGCATTGCTCAAAGAACCAGCCGACTACATTACTGGCACTGGTAATTTTTCCAGGGGTGGGGCAGGAAGCATTTATGTTTGTGGTCATAATTACAGCTCCCCCTATAGAGAGCCTACGCTGTCTTACCTGCTGTGGTACACAGTAGTTCCATGAAAAGAGACTGCAGAGAAAAGTAAGGAAAATTAGAAAATTGATCTATCATCATTGTGCCATTTTAATCAAGCTATAATTATATAAAAGACAGTCAGGATTTCTCCCTTTATTCTAAGGATTGTTGAAAAATAGAAGAAAATGTCTATAAGTCCAATGCAGTATTTTCAGAAAATGACTAATCCCCTGTACTACACAATACAGTGTCTTCAGACTTCTCAAAATACTTGGCATCCTTTGAGAGACCCTGTTCAATGAGTTTTAGTGAGGTTATACTAATTGCACAACTCTTGATGGCTTGAAATAGATTTTAGCAAATGTGGTTGAACCCACAGTTAATATTCTAGCAACTGATTTATGAAACTTGATACAGGCTGCAATTTCAGAAGTGAAGTGGATATTCAGGCAGTTAACCATGCTGAGCTTTCTCCTTCCACAGTGAGAGTGGAAAGCTTTCTCCTTCAAACAGCAACCTGATAGAGCTGCCATGTACCTGTACTGTCCAGGAGGCACAGCAGAGCAGTGAAACATGGGTGTCTGGTGCCTTAGTTCTCCTGGAACTCCAGTTCTCCTGGAGTCTCCACATTTAGTATATGCATACATTCTTCCTTAGCTTTCTCCCAGTGGTCTTCAGGCGTCTTTCTGCAGTGGAGTGGCAAGTGGTGAAAAGACGTG